CCAGAAGCCGGGCTCATGGCAGCACTAAGGAGCCCAGCAGGAAGGTGGTAAGGAGCAAGGGGTCTGGACTGCAAGAGCCCCGGACTGTGAGAGGGCCTAAACTGGCAGGCGGACATCCCCCAAGGGGTCCCAGACTGCGAGAGGGCGCAGGCCAGGCTGAGGGACCTCTCCAGTGCATGATTTTCGTGCACCGGGCCTCTAGTAAAAATATATTTAGGAAAAAAAATGTGTAGAGCTGTGAAGAGTGGGGAGATGGGATTGTCAGGGAACTGTTCTGGGGAAAGGGCTGGGCATTGGAGTCCACAGATGCCTCTCTTCCATGTCCCAATTTGGGGGACATCTGTCTACAGAGTTCAGGGCCCAGAGCCCTAGCATTTACAGGGCACGACTGTCCTGAGAGGAACCACATCAGGCAGGAGAAGGGGAGGGAAAAGAATGAAGTTTCCATGCCCGGCCAGTGGACCCAGTGGTTAAAGGTTGACCTATGAACTAGGAGGTTTGAATCCTGGTCAGGGCACATGTCTGGGTTTCGGGCTCAATCCCCAGGTAGGGGGTATGCAGGAGGCAGCCGATTCATGATTCTCTCTCATCATTGATGTTTCTATCTCTCTCTCCCTCTATCTTCCTCTCTGAAGTCAATAAAAAAATATATATTTTTTAAAAGAATGAAGTTTCCATGGGTGGAGGTGGGAAAGGGGACAGTCAAGAGGCAAAGTTCCGGGGAGCCAAGACCAGGAATTTTGGAACTGGATGTCAGTGGAAGTCAGCACCTCACCCCCTGCTCAAGTAAAACTCCTCCTGACATGGTTCTTTTCCCTGCAGGCTCAGGTTCCCTCTAGTCAGTCACCTTACACATGGCCTTTCAAATTCTGCCTGCTAGTGTCTGCCCAAGTCCTACCCCCCACTGTCCCCTCCATCTGCCCCTCAGCACAGCTGACATCACGCTCTCCCCAGCCTGTGCCATGAAGCCTTCTCCCCTGCTCTCCTCCCCTCCACCTGCCACCACTGCTTTCCCTCAGAACTGGCAGAGGGGGCAGGTCAAAGGGAATGGGCAACTGAGGGGAGAAGCTGTTCAGACTCTGACGTTGCTTCCTTTACTGAAAGAACAGAATCAGAAGGCAACTTCCAGAAGCTTTCACCCTATTCGTCACCCCCCGCCCCCCTCCTGTGGTGACTTACTCCACTCTCCACCTGTTCTGAGGAATGAACTGTCCCACTCCTGGCTCCAGTCAATTCCTCCAGCAACTCTCCCCTCCCCATCATTGTTTTGTCCCCCTCTTCTACATAATTCCTATCAGCATATAACATGCCAGTGTTTCTTACATATGAAAAGTTGTCTTGACATCACTCCACCTGGAGCTCCTGCCCACTTATCTCTTCATCTTAATGGCAAAATGCACTGGGCTGTCTCTGCATTATTTCCACTTCTCCAATCACACTTGTGATACCCCATCCCAGAGCCCTGAACTGTTCCTCAGGGTCCCAGGCAGTGACCTCCGAGTAGCCAAGTCCAATGGTCAAGTTCCAGCTTCCTAGGATGATTCCTCCCCATCCTCTTGACCTCTTAAAGACACACTAACACAGAGTTCAGGCCTTAGACCCCTTTATCCACATGCTCTACTCACCCCTTTGGGAAGCTCATCCAGATTTAGGAGTTTAAAGGTCATAAATATGCTGACAACTCCCAAGTGTCTCTCTCCAGCCCAGCACTCTCCCCTCCCTCCTAGACTTATATATCCAACTGCCCTTCCACATCTCCCCCTGGGTGTTCAAGAGACATTTCTCATTTAACAAATCCAAACTGTTCTGGTCTTCCTCCAAATAAGCCCCAACCCAGTATTCCCCATGTATGAGACTACCATCTTCCTTGACCCCTCCCTTTCCATCACACCCCCTATCCAGCGTGAAGGCTCCTCCTCCAAAATAAATCCAGAATCCAAACCCTTCTCTTCACCTCCAATAATATCACTTTGGCCCCACGCATCACCATCTCTTTCCTGGATAATCACAGTAGCCTTTTTGTTGGCCTCCCTACTCCTCACCCTGCTCCCCTACCGTCTCCTGCTAATATACTAGTTCAACACAGTCAATTCTCCACTCACAACCCTCCCAGATTAAAATCAAAAGTCTCACCATGGCCCATAAAGTCCTCTAAAAACATCCCTCCCTCTCACCTCTCTGGCCTCATCTCTTCATTCCTTCTTCACTGACTATTTTGTCCACACTGGCTTCCTTTTTCTCCCTCCAACAAGCCAGGCACTTTCCCAGCTTGGGGTGTCTGCACTGGAATGCTCTTCCAGATGGCCCCACAGCTTACCTCCTTACCTCCTTCGGGTCTTTCTTCCCTTCCTGACTCACCCTATTTAAAAATTCAGCTTCTTCCCTGGCATCTGTGGCACATATTGCCTTCTAACTTACTATTTACTTTACTTTTGTGTTTTTTTTTTTTGCTTAAATATGTCTCTCTCCACTAGAACGTAAGCACCCTATCTGTTTTGTTCACTTCAGTAACCCAAGCACCTAGAATACTATATGGAAATAAAAGGCCCTTAACTAATAGTTGTTGCATGAATAAACCACATCCGTCTCATCCATGTTACCTAAGACATCCCTTACTAAGCTACCCGCTCCACCCCTCCACGTTAACTCCACCTCCAGCCCAAACAACAAAAACAATAACTAGCACTTACATAGTGCTTACTATGTGCCACTTAGCTATGTGCTAAGTGTTTTCAAATGCTGACTCATTTAATCTCCATAATAACCCTATGAGGCAAGAACTGGAATTATTCCCAATTTAGAGATGAGAAAACCGAGGCACAAAAAGATCAAAAACCAATAAACAGCAGCTCTGAGACAATGAATCTCCACAGCCCACTAAGAGCAGCTGAAGAGTCAAAACACAAAGCCCCGCCCCACGACCTTAACCCCGCCTCTTGGTAGCCCGTCGCGCGCGGGCCCCAGGGCA